ACCGTGTGAATTACGTAAAAATGTGATGCTGCTGGTGCTACCAGCAAAGATAAGGTAGGTCCAAGGAAGGCAGCTCCGCATGCACCGCTGTGGAGGGAACTCCGAAACGGGCTCACACAGGCTGTGTGGGAAAATAAAATAACTCTTAGTGGGAAGGTAAAGAAGTGAGGAGGGAGAGGTCTGCCTGCTGACGCACCAAACGCCTGACACAACCTGGTCTGGTGTGGGCAAAAACCCCGCACCTGAGGGGCAGGCTTTCTGCCCACTAGGGTCCTTTTTGTCTTTTTCACTGTTAACATTTTCCTCCAGAGTCACACTGCCCCGCCCACCACCCTGGGCAGGTTGTTTCTGGAAGTTCCCAGAACTGTTAGGCTTTGCACACATTTGTGCTGGTGGCCCTTGGGTATGAAGTTCACAGGGACCTGCTACATAACAAAGGAGGCTGCGGTGGGGTGGGTAGCAGCCCTGGGTGTCTCTGACCCCAACTGAGCCCAGGGCAATTTCTGCAGTAAATGTTATCCTGGTCCCTGAGGCAGCTAACAGATCTTGTGATAAAGTCCCTTTTGGCTGATACTCCAGGGGTTACCTCCCAACTAGGATGACCCCTCTGGGCTCAGTGTGGCTGCTCTTCTAAGAAGAGACCCAAGTACTAGATTTGGGTGAAAAGCCCTGTTAAATCTGTGCTAGCCAACAGTCACCACTAGCCAGGTGTGGTCGTTGAAATATGGCTGGAGAGATCAAGCAACTTAATTTTCTGTATTGAATCTAAAAGAATTTCCATTTAAAAAAGACATACGACATTTCCATCACTGCAGGAAGTGCTCTTGGACAGCACTGCCCTTAGACTGTTTTCAGTGGTTAAACTGTTCAGTGGGAAGGGAAAGCCACTCCTACGTTGACTTTAAATGTGTGTTACATTTTTACTTCCAGACGTTTTGTAGCAAAATAGTGATTAACACTGTTTTGGGGCTGTGTAACTACTTACCTTATAATAAAACCAGTTCCTTAAAGCAAGTTACAAAATAAAAGCAGTTTCCCTGGCCTGCAAATAAAGGGAGGGCAGGAACTAGGTCTTCTCCAGGGCAGGGCTAGTCCTGGGCTGGAATCCTGCTCTGGTTTGGAAAGGGCCTGTCTGACACAGCCTGTACTACTAGAAAGAAAGAGGTAGGGGCATTATGAGGGCAGAGTACACACCTCTTGGCCCCAGCAACCAGACCTTGGAAGACCAGGAGGGATCTGCTTAACTTTGGCCACAACTTTCACAAAGAAACGAGCTTTGAGTCCACTGGGCTCTTTGGGTGCCTGGATCCAGAGTCCAGTGAGTTGATGTTCTCCACCCCACATCCAGCTCAGGGAGACTTCCCTCTCCCTTACAGAGGACTCCTGCCTCCTTACCACCCCTCCCTTCCACCCCACCCCTACTGCCTCTGGAAGGATGCCCAGACACCACCCCAGCCCATCAGTAGAGCCCTCAAACAGAGTCGCAGGACTCCCCTGAGGTTTATCATCAGTCTTTAATGCTGTCACTCTGCACATTGACAAGTCACACGCTTTGGTCTTGTGTTGGCAGTGGCAACTTACAATGAGTCTAGAAGTCTGAGCACCAGACTGGCCTGCAGGGAACAGACATTTGTTCCAGCACCCCCCCCCCGGTTCCTTCTGAATTCCACCATGGCCCTATACAGAGAGCAGCGGCTGCCGTGGACTGGTTTCATTTGAGTGCACACCAACTTTACACGGAATTATAAAAACATATTTACAGACGTTCCACAGTGCTCCTGTAATCAGAAGCAAAGACCCTTTTATCAAAAGGGATTATATCTGGGGCTGTGCAAAATTCAAAAGGATCAAATCCCTTTGAAAGAGTCCAGAGTCCATTAAACAAAAAATTACCTGGGCCACTGGTAAATCCCAGGTATGCCAAAAGGTTGCCTCACTGAAAAGGATGGTGAGTGCGCTCAGCCTCAGAGCCAGAGATTGAGAGGGCCCTATGCTCTAGCCAGGGCCCCTGACCCCTGAGGGAGAGGCAGCTGCACAAGTTACTCACTCACTGGAGGCCGGCTCCCTTGGTCCTGCTGGAACATGAGAGGTATTGCTTGTGGGAGCCAGCCAGACAGTTCTGCAAAATACCCTAGGTTCTCAATTTGAGATGGCAAAAGAGAAAACAGGATTCTTCAGGAGAAGAGCAAGATGTGGGAGACAAATACAGAACATAACATGAACTGATCACACAACAGAAACTGTGTGTACAAGGTCTGGTAATCAAGAAGGCAGATCGACACAACCTAACATCCGCAAGCAAAGGGGCTACAGAGAGATCGAGTCGAGCTGCGGGCCTGCCTCTCCCGCTGGGCATGGCCTGGAGGTGGAGGACGTGGCCCATCCTGGAGGGCTGCAGGACCCAGCGGGCCAGACTGGACTGCCTTTACCTGCTGTCCCCACCACCTGCCACCCTATCGCTCGAAAAACCACTTAAGTCTAGTGCACGACTTTGAAAGATTGTAATATATTCTCTGGAAAACATTCAGCAGTACGAAAGCCCTCCCTGGGCCCTCCCGCCCTCTCGCGGGTCCACAACTGGTGGAACGGTCCGGAAATCCTTGAGCTCTGGAAAGGTCCCTGGTCAGTCCTTGGGGAACACAGGTGTCTATATCGGAAGAACCTGCTCAAGAACGGTTCTTGACGTCTGGGGAATCCTTTCAGGGAAGATCACTTCAAACTCAATAATGAGGTCCCCCCGTTTCTCGGGCGTTTTGGGGAGAGGGAGGCCTTCTCCAGGAACTTTTCGCCGCATGCCAGGCCTGATGACATCTTTGAACACAACGGGTATGGTCCTGCCGTCCAGAGTGGGGACATTCACTGTACAGCCACACAGAGCCTTGGAAAGCAAAGGGACAACATTAGAGACAGAGTCGCTTAGGAAGCTCAAATCCTGCCCACAGGCTGCTTAGTGTAGGGTAAATGCCATCAGGTCTTTATAGCTAACACCCTGCCCCCAAGGTCTACCCAGGTCACCTGCACAGAAACTCGGAAAGAAAGGACCCCTGGACAGTCTTATTGCTACTGCTTGGCACACACAAAGTGCTCAGAAACATCTGTCAAATATTGAACTGCTTCAAAAACCAGCCTTGCCTTCCACAGACGCTACACTACCTTGCCTGGTGCCTTACCTCCCGAAGAGTGATCCTGGCTGGGTAAATGACATCAGAGCCATCTCTCTTAAAGATATTGTGTGGCTTGTCCTTTAAAACAAAGACAATGTCGGCTGGAATGTTGTTGGAGGTCTGGTCTCCTTCCTTGGGGAAGGTGATTTTGGTCCCTTCTTTCCACCCCCGCTTCACTTCGATGGTCAAGATTTTGTCTTCGTTGCGAATGCTCTTTCCATCGGGGTTCAGCCGCTTATGAGAGATTTTCATCTTCTTGGTACAGCCGCTATAGATCTCCTCAAGTGAGACCCTAAGGTCGTGGGTGACGGGGGGATCTTGCTTCTTTCGGGTGGGCTCTTGGGCAGGGCGGGAGCGGCCAAAGTTCATATTGGTGAAGCCACCCATGCCCATGGGGAAGCCAGAGAACGGGTCATCAATGTCCATGCCTTCCTCCCCGTTGCGCTGCCCAAAAAAGGTGTCAAAGGGATTTCGGCCACCGAAGAACTCAGCAAACATGGCATGAGGGTCTCCATGGAATGTGTAGCTGAAAGAAGTACCGTTAGCACCACCGCTGCTCCCGCCACTGGGGCCACCACCTTTCAGGCCTGAAAAGCAAAAGTAGAGAAATCAGATGGCTGGCCAGGAGCTTCTCTCTAGTTTTCCTTAAGGGAGAAACAAAACGAAACCCTTGGGAGCCACTGAGGAGTAATTTTTTTTAGCCTGTTAGAGGGGAGCAAAAACGACCCTCAAGCTTTTACCTCCCAGGTGGAGCAGCAGAAACAAAACCCCCACCCCCCTAGCCAGTTCACTGTGGCATGACCGTGGTGAAGGGGTCAAGCTCTGAGATGGCTATCTGCTGGCACCACCCAGGTCCTCACATTTGAGTGACCCATCCTTCCTGCAATGTGATGAGAAGTATAAAGAAATCACTAAGATAACCTATGAAAAAAGCATGACCCAGGGTCAGTTTTCACTAAGTGTTTACTCTTAAATACTTTAGAGCTAGAGGTGTGTACGGAAACTACACATGAAGGCGAAAGAGTAAATGGAGATTTTCAAATTCTCACACGGTGACACTAATTGCCACCATTCTTATATAATAAGTCACTTCTTTCTTCGGACCAAGCCCAGAAGCCAGCCTGAGTCATCAACGGGCAACTGGACAACAAGAAAGCTTCTTTTTTTTCCCCTTAAGAGGGCTACCAGGGGGAGGCTGGGCAGAGGCGGGCCCCACTGCTCCCTGCACCTTGACGGCCGACTACGTGCCTGGCACGGGGCTAGGTAAGCACTTTACAGGATTACCTCACTCCACCCTCAGGGAGGCCCAGGAGATCGCCCGGCGATAATTGGCACTCTCATTTGCAGGCTCACCACACGCAGCCTGTGCCCCGCGCTCAGCCAGAGTCCCCGCCCTGAGCCCCGGGGAGGCAGAGCCTCCCACCTCGCCCAGGTGAGCCCAGGGCCCGCAGGGCCGCAGGGCCATCAGCCAAGCTAGACCTCCGAACCCCTCTCCTTTCGCACCCGCACCCCTCGACCGATCGGGGACGTGGGTGGAGGCGCCGCCCCAGACATACTAGAAGCTTCTGGGCGAGCTGCGCAGCCAGGGCTCCTCCTCCCATCGGGAGGCCGCCAATCCGAGGGCGGAGGCCCGTGTGGCCAGTAGGCGGCGGCTACTCGCCCCCCAGTGCTGGGTCGCCCCCACCTAGGATGCTGCAGCTGGGCCGCCGTGCCTCGGTTTCTCCGCCTGTCAAACGGCGGGGGCGCGCCCCCGGCCGCGCGCGCGCACTCACCTTCCTCCCCGTAGCGGTCGAAGATCTCGCGCTTGCGC